AACGAGATATCGAAGGACACATTATCGAAGATAAAATACACTGCACTGTTTCAAAAGTGGATGAAACCTTCTTTGAAATCTTCTTCAGCCATTTATGATTATGTAAAAGTACAATAACTGGATGATATTTGCGTGATTCGGCGATAAAAAGCAAACAAGACGGCAAAATATGGCTGAAATCGCGGTTTCGTGGGGGGTAAGTGAAATAAAATTTATTATATTTAAAGAAAACAATGACAATCCTTATGAAATCAACAATATTTATATTAAATTAAGCATAGCTTTTAACCCCATGATAATTTTTTTTAGGAAATAAGAATATTTAATTTCTGCCTGGCATATTAGTTATTTTATGCAAAATCAGCAATTTACCTGGGGTGGTGCAGGGTCATTTTCTTGTAAAATATTATACTTGGACAAATTTTTCTTCCAATGACCACCCCTAAAAGCAACCCTTCTAAACACTATAAGCACTTCAGAAAGACTATCGCTTTTTGTTTTCTGAAGTTAGAACTATGTCGACACTGCCGTTTCAGGGCGGGGTCATTTTCAGGACTTTCGTCCCGGATTCAGCTTTTGGCACATATGCCATGTTGACCGCCATGGTCATTTTACCCTAAAACAGTTGAGATTACCTGTGCTAAATGAAATGCATACAAACTCATATACAGGTCCTAGACTAATCTAAAAAACTTAAAAATTGTCCTTGTATATGTATTAATTTTATAACTGGTAATTAACCCTCTGTATTTGTTTGTAAAAATATTTTATCAAGGTAAAATATTGCGTTTTCAAAATGTCATTATGTGATGTGATGTCACACCGGTGATATTTGCATATGAAACAAAGTTGAATATCTTGCAAAGGAAGCAAGTTACCAAAATGCTATAAAATAAATTATTAAGTCATTTTAAGTGATCTTTACAATGCAATCATAAACATTTGGGGTGAAATTTCGTGTCATAGGTACTTTAAATAAAGAGGGTCGTGGCTGTTCGATTTTGCTGCGGCAAATTTGGCCAATCAGTGGCAAATCGTGGCTGTTGATCGCCAATTTCAATTTTCATTCCGGTTTGACCTCGTCCCGCAGTCGTCCCGGTATCGTGTAAACGGGGCCTTAGCTTTATTTTCCACATGCGTTCATTATAATCAATGGACCTAGCTATTCCCTATGGACAAAATTTTGATCTAGACAAGTTTAGACAAAAGTTTCATCACAGCTTGAAAGAGCACCGGAAATTGAAACCTTTTTTTAGAAAGCGGTATCAATTTCCCGTGCGTAATACAAAATGACTGAAAAAGGTAAACTTCGCAGGGCTATATTATCCGCATTTTACAACATTTCGCAACGAAACTTCGGAATATTACTAATTTGGTGATGCTCTTTCAAGCTGTGATGAAATTTTTGTCTAGACTTGTCTAGATCAAAATTTTGTTCATTAGGGAATAGGTCAATTCGTTTTTACTATTATTTAGGTCTCACTGCTGAGGAGCTGAGGAAAATTCTTCAAGCATTTGGATACAGCAACAAACACGCCATCTCGCCAGCGGCTTGGGCTCTCTTCACCTCCGCGGCAAAATGTGCTATCTACGCGAGAAATGACGGACTGCTGAACTTCCAGCAAACCAGTCTACGCGAAGCGGTCGACGTTCTCCTTCTTAATAGTCTGACGTCACCGTCGCGTGCCAGACACGTGACCACGTTTGAAAACCCATGGGAGCTTCAGAAATTTCAATTTCATTCCGTGCTTACCAGAGGTTTCTCCCAGTTCCCTTGCGACGCGCGGCTGGTCAACGAGTTGCCGTGGCAACTTAAAGCAGCTGCTGACGTCAGCGGTTTGAAAGCGACCCTAGCGAGGCCGGAAGTGTTCGTGAAAATGTGGTCGAATATAAAGGATCTGAGATTCGTTGTTGATTTTTTGAACTACTGGAAATTTTTAACTCGAGAAGAATGTGATGTAGTTGAAACATACTCTGGCATGCTGGATGAGATCGCGAGGTCTTTAGAAGAGACTGAGGACAAGACTAGTACCCAGGACACCTCGGAAACCGGAGATCTGGCGCACGCTGAGAATCATGGTATAGCAGACAGAATATTGCGCAAGAGACCTGGATCAAAATATGCCCCAATTGAAGTCGCTTACGTCGCCTATTTAATAGGAATCTATTTCCTGGGTCTGCAAGAGTTCGAGTCAGCAGAGACGACGTTGCAACGTGCATTAAAGGTGTCACGTGATGTGACGTCAATCGATGACGTCGACTTCCTGTGTCAAGTTCATAAGTCCCTCGGGGATTTGTATTTTGACTGGAGAAAGCTGGATAAAGCTGTTGGTTATTATGAGGGTGTATTGAAGACAGCGGTTGAAGTCTCGAGATATGTTAATATGGATGAGGTGGGTTTTATTATTTATTATTATTATTAAAATTATTATTAAAAATTCTTTATAGACGGTAGCTTATCAACCTATATCTATTGAAAAGATATGTAGTTTCTAATAAATTTTCAAATAATGAAAATGGTTGATTTTCACAAGGCCGTGTAGAAATAAAGAATAAACAGAAGAACAACAATGGGTGTCTCCAGCTATAGACTAAATTTTGATCAAGGCAAGAAGAACGAAATCCAACACGACAGCTAGAAAGAGCGTCTTAGAATGAGTAAAACTGCAAAGATTGGTTGCTAGATGTTGTAAAACGAAGAAAATATAGCCCTGTGAAGTTCGCAAATTTGTATATATTTGTATTACGCGCAGTAAAAATAACCACTTTCGCCCCAAAATTGGATGGACCTCTAGGGAGAACAGTTTAGAATTGATAGAGCTATGCAGTATAAATAAAGTTAGTTTAGTTTAGGTTTCCTCCTGTAGTAACACCAGATCAATAAGAGATGATCCTTACTGGACTAGACCTCTAGGGAAAACAGTTTAGAACTGATAGAGCTATCCAGTATTAATAAAGTTTTGCTGGTCTTATATAAGTTAATTCCAACGTGTATCTGTTTTTCTTTAGGTGATGTTAGTGGCAATCCAAGCGCATGCCAGACACCGCCTGGCGAGCATTTCAATACGTACGACCCTTAATTCTCGTGGATTTTCAAACTTCTTCACACGTAATGATAAGAGTTCTGGCAAAAAGAAAGACAACTCGCTGGCTTTAGTCCCTCAAACAGGAGACCAGCTGAATGAGGCCTCTAGATTGATGGAAATTGCTAAATTTGAAGAAGGTAGTGATACGTAAACCTAAACTAAGCTAACTTTATTTATACTGGATAGCTCTATCAGTTCTAAACTGTTCTCCCTAGAGGTCCAGTAAGGATTATCTCTTATTGATACAGTGTTACTACAGGAGGAAATATAAACTAAATTAACTTTATTTATACTGGATAACTCTATCAGTTCTAAACTGTTCTCCCTAGAGGTCCAGTAAGGATTATCTCTTATTGATCCAGTGTTACTACAGGAGGAAATATAAACTAAATTAACTTTATTTATACTGGATAGCTCTATCAGTTCTAAACTGTTCTCCCTAGAGGTCCAGTAAGGATCCTCTCTTATCGATCCAGTGTTACTACAGGAGGAAATCTAAACTAAATTAATTTTAGTTACACTGGATAGCTCTATCAGTTCTAAACTGTTCTCCCTAGAGGTCCAGTAAGGACCATCTCTTATTGATCCAGTGTTACTACAGGAGGAAACTTAAACTAAACTAACTTTATTTATACTGGATAGCTCTATCAGTTCTAAACTGTGTATTTATCCAGTATCACTACAGGAGGAAACTTATTGATTCAGTGTTACTACAAGAGGAAACCTAACTTTACAATTAGGTGCTTGACAAGCACCGGGCAAGATTTTATTTTATTTTCTGTCTACACAGGAAAAGGACCATTGTGCCATACAATGGCTTTACTGGCTGTCTGCGAGAAACGTCTGGATGATGCAGAACTACTTCTAAACAGAGCCGTTGACGAGATGGAAAGATGGCATGGGCCATCACACCCTGCTGTCGCAACAATCCTGCAAGATTTGGCTAGGTACCAGTCCTATTGCGACCAAGAAGAGCACGACATTACAAGGACTGAAAAGCTGTATCGTCGAGTATTGAATATCCGTGAAAGGAAGTTGGGAAAGTCACATTTGGATGTAGCTGAAACTTTGCTGGAATTAGGTACGTCCAGTGTATATTAGAGCTTATATAAGCTTAGGGCCTCTAGGAAGAACAGTTTAGGACTGATTGAGCTATCGAGTATAAATAAAGTTAGTTTAGTGTTGGTTTACCGCTGTAGTAACACTGGATCAATAAGAGATGATCCTTACTGGACCACTAGGGAGAACAGTTTAGAACTGATATGTATCCAGTGTAAATGAAGTTAGATTAGTTTAGATTTCCACTTGTAGTAACACTGGATCAATAAGAAATGACTCTAAATGGACCTCTATGGAATAAATAAAGATACAGTTTAGATATTAATACTTGCTAGGTAAATAAAACGTTTCTATTTTCTATCTTATTTTGCATCATCTCTATTTTAGGTTGTATTTTACAGAAGAAAGGAACAAGAGACAGCTTGCAGGAATGTCGTAATTTACTACAACGGTCAGTTGACATCAGAGCAGAGAAATTGGGAATGTATCACGAATGCTCTATCGAGGTAAGAAAAATTCTCGTACAATTAGCGTAGCCGTCTATTTTGGTGAAAGAAAACGGGATAAAAGGGAAAAAATGGCGGATGTCAGCCGACGCGGAATGAGAAATATGTATGGATAGTTTGCGACATGCTAACCAGATTTATGGACGGGGTGGGGATTCAGGAAAGTTGAAAATGATTTCTCCAACGAACGGATCTGAATTTGGAAATCGAGTGTGGTATTGCGTAGCATTTGGGGGACCTTGCTTCGGCGGTTCTGTGTTTAAATAAGGTCAGAAAAATAGAGTCACGATCTTTCTCAACGGTCAGTTAATAATACTTCATACCTGTAAACCACATATAAATCATAAGTATTCTGTAGTTATAATCACTCCGCGTATTTTCAGTTCTAAAATGTTGTATTTCGGCTGATGAGAAAGATAGTGACTCAATCTTTACGACCGTTACGACCATATGGCAACCAGGCATTAATGAACCATGCGTGATCCGGAAGTTGGGTGTACCTCGTTAGTCAGCGACATACCAGAAGCACTGCCAATATGGACTTATGGGTACCAAACCATAAACTAACAATCACCAGGAGTGGACTTCAGTACCAAGGCCGGATTTTGGTGGAAATAGTGGGAGAGGTGGACAAAAATTTAGGGGAGGTGCAGCGGTCTAGCACACGACCCCCATGGAAAGTTAGGGCTTAGAAGGGACCAAAGTCAACGTGACGTATGCATGTAGTGTACATATGTATCAGTGTATTGATGAATTATGATTGTACAACTCTCATCCAATTTTTGCCCTTCATTACAATTACTACAAAGTTTCTTCAAAACATTCCATTAAAAGGGTTACTTGAGCGGTTTTCCACTAGGCAGAATTCTGCGCGCGAAGCGGTCTTTTCTTTTGTCATGTGATTTCTCGGGTGGAACGAATTAGAAAAGACAACGAAAAATTTCGCTCCGCGCGCAAAATTTCGCATAGTGGAAAACCGGCTTGACAAGAACATTACAAAGAAACGAAAAAATTGTTAATGTTTTATTTGTGAAATATTTTTATTACAAATTTTGTAAGACTAAATTTAGCTATCTGAACAGCATTTTGCGTGAATGTAAATAACGGCTGAGCACGGGAGATTTTTCTCAAAACATGGCTTAAAATTTCGTCTGCCTCATTCATACAAGTGAAGCGAGCACAAATCTACGATTAAACAGAAATTAAAACGAAGAATTAATGGGGGTTTGAGCTCTTTTCATTTCGATGAATCAGGCTTCAGAAATGTTTCCAAAAAACTGGCGAAATTGTTTGTGTCCACACTACAGCGTTTCTCGGAAATTCTTGCGTGAAAGTCACGTCGACAGGAGCGAGTCCTGTGAATAATTTAAATATTTTTTTATAACGTCTTTATTCGTGTTTCTACGTGTTGTGAAGCTTTTACAATTCTACTCTTGGTTCAGCAGGGACGGCCTAAAATATGAGAAAATATGAGTAAGATTAAGAATACAAGTTCTGCTGGTAGATTACAAATAATTAGCCTTTCTCGCAAAGTCCAAATTCGCCATTCTTGGGGTACATTTTTGAAAACGACGTGAAAAATCTAAGCGATGTGAAAACACTTTTTCAAATATTTAACTGTAAATTAATTTATAATGATTATACTCGCGTGAGAAAGGCTAATGGACATATTCCGTAATGAACAAAATTTTGATCTAGCTAAGTCTAGACAAAAATTTCATCACAGCTTGAAAGAGCGTCACAAAATTAGTAATATTCCGAAGTTTCGTTGCGAAATGTTGTAAAATGCGGATAATATAGCCCTGCGAAGTTTGCCGTTTTTCAGTCATTTATTACGCACGGGAAATTGATACCGCTTTCTGAAAAAAGAGTATCAATTTCCCGTGCGTAATACAAAATGACTGAAAAACGGCAAACTTCGCAGGGCTATATTATCCGCATTTTACAACATTTCGCAACGAAACTTCGGAATATTACTAATTTTGTGATGCTCTTTCAAGCTATGATGAAATTTTTGTGTAGACTTGTCTAGATCAAAATTTTGTTCATTAGGGAATAAATAGGTCCATTAGTTAGGAGATTTTTTGTATGTTACGTAACACGCGCTTTGTGTGTTACGTAATGTAGCACTTGCGCTTTATTAAAAATTTTCATTTTTTGATACGTTTCTTAACCGACAAACTTGTGTGAAATACTGCTAAAACGAAGACATATACATCAATGTCATAATACAGTCTGTACATGCAGCTCCGAAATCGACAACTTGCATGTTAGACTAAATTTTAATCTAAGTAAAGAGAATTAGGGAATCAAACACCACAGCTAAAAAGAACATAATGAAATTAGTAAAACTGCAAAATTTGGTTGCGAAATGTTGTGAAGCTTGGAAAATATAGTCTTGCAAAGTTTGCATATTTTGTAGATGTTTGTATTCGTGCGAAATTGTTACCATTTTCGGCTCAAAAATGGTAACAATTTCCGCACGTAATACAAACATCTACAAAATATGCAAACTTCGCAAGGCTATATTTTACAACATTTTGTAACCAAATTTTGCGTTACGTGAATTTACTTTTTTTGCCTAGATCGAAAATTAAAAATTTAGTCTAACATGCAAGTTGTCTATTTTTTGACAAAATGTTTACACTCACTTCATCGACGGTCTCATCCTCAGCCGTGCCTCCATCTTCCTTTCCTTCCGTTTCATCCTTCTGTTCGGTTTCTTCTTTCTGTTCGGTTTCTTCTACTTTTTCTCCCTCCCCTTCCTTCGCATCCTCCATCTCATCGCCTTCCTCTGCTTCAGCTTCCACTTCCTTATTCTCATCTTCCTCTTCCTGTTCTTCTTCGTCTTCCACTTCCGGTTTTCCATCTGGGTCCATTTGCATGCTCAATTTGAGCATGCGCTCGATACGCGAGGAGAAGTCGGAGGAATCCTGAAATGAAAATTGAAACAGATTTTAGCGCTGGAAAAGCATTAACGTAACATCTTTTATTCACGGTGGAGCGATCGGCGTGGTAAAACTTCGCAAAGTATCTCAAATTTGGCAAAATTCACTTTGGTTCATGTTGTTCGCCATACATTTCTATAGTAATTTGTATCACTCCGTGGTCCCCGGAAGTGATTTTCGCATATATAATTTGGCTTCAGTTTTCACACCTAGAGAAGCTATATCCAGTCTAGTATTAGATCAGTGGTCAAAGCCTATAAGCCAACAACCTCGTTCGATAAGCCAATAGACAGATTTGCTAACGAGATTTTTTTCAACAAAAACGGTCTTATAGATCTTTTTTAAAATTGAGTAGATTGCAATAAATGACTAGTACATTTAAAATACAAAATTTCAGAAATATTGACCGAAGGAAAAGTTATTGCATTACAAACATTGCGCGGTCAAATGAATTTTTTTCTGACGCAATAAATTTTCAACTCGACAAGATCACGTCATGTCATTACCAGTCCCATGCTTAGAGAGCCACCTTGAGCGTATATTAATCATCACATCCTCTCACCTTGAGCTGATATCCAGATCTCATATTGGCGGTTTCAAACAACAATCTTGACAAATCTTTAGCGGACTGATCAGTGCTGTCTTTCTCAACCAAGTTCAAGAGTTTCTTGATCAATGGATGACGTGGATTCACTTCCAAAGTCTTCTTTTGATTAGCATAGTAGCTGGAAATAGGAAATTGATAAACTTTAACTTTCGAAGCTTAACTTTTGTTTATAAAGTTTATATCGGCTTTCTATCACGTATGCGTGACTGGACAGTTGCTGTAGCACAGTACAGTAAATTTGCTTGTTAAAGTACAGTATATTTGAAAATATGTTTGTATAACTACGTCGACATGTTTACATATTTAACCACGGTTAAGATTTAACCATGGTATGTTAAAGACCATGTCAAGTCCGTTATGTAAACAAATCCTTTGTTTACATTACTGCTATATTTGTAAAACAAGACATATTAACTGAATATCTAACACTTTTCTGGTTCGCAAATCACAAATCAATATCGTTTCAAGAAATCGGCACGCGCTAACAGTAGAAGTTCCGCTAATCGCTATTCGAAAAGCAGAAAATGTATGGTCAAGCAGATTTTTTAGGGTGGTGCTGGACTGGGTACTAGACACAAATAGGTGGGGTGCCCCCTCCCACGGTAGAACCGCCCCTGCCACAGCCTTCGTACAACCGGCCCCAGAATCTCAACTTACTCTTGGCTAGGATCTTTGGCCTTCGCATAAGCTTGAGATCTCATGATACGTTCCATGTTACCCGACCATCCATAACTGCTTGCAACTAAAGCCATCGGGGAATCGGTCAACCGCTGTGAGAGAGTGGCCTTCTCGATCAGATCTTTCAAACCGTCATCCTTCAACCATTTCAAGAGCGGCTCGTACGTTTTCTCTTGTTCTTCGAATTTCTTCTTCGCCTTCTCGGACTGTTCGATGTTCAGGCCCTCCTTGGCGACATTCTGGAACTTCTTGCCTTCGAATTCGGGAAGACTTTGTATGCAGTATTCGTCGACTGGCTCCACAAGATACAACACTTCATAACCCTTTCTCAAAAGTCGTTCTACGAATGGCGATTTCTCAACCTAGTCAAAGAATGCGAAGAATGATTGTTAGAACCAGTATACAGGGTCTGAAATTTAAATATCTTTTCAGTATCCAACTGGGATACCAAGATTCAAAGTTTAGTATCCCTCCTGAGAATGCAGTATCACACTTCTGGATACTGGTTACCATAGGTTTTATACCCTGTCCCATCCAATAACTCTCACTGTTACAAATTACAATGACAACAGGAGATTCAACAGTCAAGTTGTGAACAACTAGACAATTCATTAATACACAAAAATGCACATTATATGAGGAAAGGCTTGGGTGGCCAACTCATAGACAGTATTCAAAAGCCATCAATGTTTGAAATTTTCTTTATAGTATCCAGTTGGGATATAAGTCATTCACAGTTTGGTATCCAAAGCCAAATTTTAGCATCCCGTGAATATCGGGATACTGCAAATTTCAGACGCTGAGTGTAGAAGTAAGAGGGAACTTAACCAAGCGACATTTTGCCAACACGGGCGTCAGATTGCCGAGGGAAGACCATTGAACTATAAATAAACTGGAAGGCTAACTGCTATGATTCAAGAAGGCCTATGATTTGATGAAGCCAAAATAGTTTTTCTGAGTTATGAGCAGAAATATTTGATCCCAAACGTTGGGCTATATATCAAATTGAAGCTATTGAAAATTGCTATTCGGTGTGGAAATTTCAAGACTTCAGCGAAAAGAAAAATATTTAAAAAATACAAAAACAACTGCAAAACGGCAAATTATCGTCAATTATTTTTGTATTTTTTTCAATATTTCCCTTTTAGCTAAAGTCTTGAAATTTCTACACCAAATAGCGTTTTTCAATAGCTTCAATTTGATATATAGCCCAACGTTCAGTGTCGAGTATTTCTGTTCATAACTCAGAAAAACTAAAATGCACTGGCTTCAATCCCCCCCCCCCCCTGAGTTAGCCTTCCAGTTTATTTATAGTTCAATGGGGAAGACTGGATTAAAAACTGTGTTTATGTCAGTTCGTGGCAATCTTCAACACGTATGACAAAACGTAAGTTTTTTAAAGTTTTTTTGCTTCCTTGGACGAGCGCTATGCACGGTGATGTCGGTCTTGACAAAGACGTCACTTGGCTAAGCTCGCTAACTCGTAATCTGTAATCAGTATTGTCAAACACTTTTCTGCAATTGTGTATTATCAACGTTGTCCCAAAATTCAAATCGCTCTGAAAATATTTGGTGTTTAGATTGCTAGCAAGACGCCTGATATTTTCTTGATAGTTTTGTTGCCGCGTTTAAACACAAACGAGTTACCAGACGAAGCGTCTTTTCCTTGTTTAATTTCGTACAAGCGGGTCAACAGTAGTTCATGAAGAATTCTGATGTCTTAATGTTACCTCAGCTCTTGAGCTTCCTGCCATGAAATAGATGACCTCTTGTTTCTCCTTCATTCTTTCAACATAATCCGCCAGACTCGTGTGGTCGCTCTTGTTGTTAGAACTCTGGAAGCGAAGCAGCTTGGCCAAACGTGTGCGGTTAGAGTGGTCTTCAATCACGCCAAGTTTGATGCTAAAATTAAGGAGGAAAATTCGGTCATCAGACGATGTGGGCTGGTAGACATTGCAGAGAAGGTGAGGGAAGCAAGGCTGAGATGGTATGGGCACGTAATAAGAAGAGATGAAGGACAACTGGTCAGAGACATTATGGAATGAAGAGATCAGAAGAAGATGTGGGGTGGTAGACATTGCAGAGAAGGTGAAGTAGTATGGACATGTAATAAGAAGAGATGGAGAGCTGGTCAGAGACGTGAAGTGGAAGATGTGAAGTGATAGATATTGCAGAGAAAATGAAGGAAGAAAAGATGGATGAACTGTGGAAAAGAAGCTCTAAATGTCAAGGAAATGACGAACTTACTTCGTGCTATACTCCTTCCAGAACTTCTCAATATAATCTTCCTTGGAGATCTTCTTTAACATATCCAAAACCTTCCTCACCAGTTTCTTACGGATAACTTTCAACAGTTTGTGTTGTTGAAGATTTTCTCGAGAAACGTTCAAGGGGAGATCATCGGAATCGACCACGCCTTTAACAAAGCCAAGGTATTTCGGCATCATTTCTTGGAAATCGTCGGTGATGAAAACACGCCGTACGTACAACTTGATGTGGTCGGTCTGTTTGCCGTAGTCGTTGAACATGGCGCCAGGAGACGTTTTCGGCACGAAGAGGATCGATCGGAATGTCACCTCGCCTTCGGCAACAAAGTGAACCTTAGCCAATGGATCATCGCTATCCTGAAACGAGATTATAATTAACATTCGTTAGAATGTAATTAACATCAATTAACACTAGTTCTGCTTGAGGATAGTCCATTAAAACAGTTAACGTCGGCAATAAGGGATGACAGTAACAGTTTAGAACTTACTGATACCTTGACAAAGCTATCTAGTAGAAATAAAGTTTGTTAAAGTTTCACAGCAATCAAACTTACTTTGCTGAAAGATTTATAAAAGTTGTTGTAATCTTCATCATTCACTTCTTTGGGTTTACGTAACCAGATTGGTTTGGTGTCGTTCATCAGTTCCCAGTCCCACACGGTCTTCTCAACCTGCAGCAGAGAACACGTTCATAATGAGAATGCTTTAATTAACTAAACATTTTTTATCTGTTTACCGTAGTTTATTCTGTTTGTGCAATGCGTTTACGTGCGCGCTAGGGTTACACTATGGGGATAGGGTTATCCTATCAAGCCATCAAGCAGATAGGGTACGTAAACTTGAAGTAGGGCTATGTTTACATGGATTGAGTCATGTAAAATCATCAGGTAGGATTACCCAACAAGCGGGTCATGTTTTATCCGCCTTTTTGATACAGTAACACACAAAGCAAAAGACCACCGCATTGAAATGCAGCAAGCAAAAGTCAAAAGACATAAAATTACAGAACTGACCGCTAGAACTTCGCGTTTTGGCAAATACAGCTGGCTTAACGACCACGCATACGTAGGGGTTACCCAACCTAGGCAACATAGCCCAGTGGTAGGGTAACCCTATCTCATGTGAACACTCGCTATTTTTTTTACCCTCTTGGTAGGGTAATACCCTTAGTGGTAGGGTTATCCTACCTTCGTGTAAAAAGGTCCTAAGAGAGCCCGAAGTGCTCGAGAGCTAGTGATTGCTTTTCTCATTTCCAGGAATAAAAATTCCTCCACGTACCTTCTTTGTTTTTGGTTTCTTTTCTTTATCCTCTTCCGCGTCCTCAACTTCCACATCTTCATCTTCTTTCTTTTCATCATCTTTCTTCTCATCTTCTTTTTTCTCTTCATCTTTCTTCTCTTCATCCTTCTTTCCTTCCTCCGTCTCGTCTTTCTTCTCGGGTTCAGCTTCGTCTTCAATGGGTTCCTCGACAGTCTCCGTCTTACTCGTCCACAGGTAGATGTTGAAGTTGATAAACTGACTGTATTTTCGCACTAAATCTTTGATCGTTTCTGGTTCGAGGAAATCTCGCGCCTCCTCTTTCAAGTGCAAGCTGAAAGTAGGTTGAAATTAAATTCAAACACTCATTAATAATTCATAAGCTTATTGGCAAATCATGTCAACCATAATATGTCACGTGCAGTGGCTTTAAACCTGATAAAACACTCCTAATTAGTATTCTTTATATAAAGAATACTAACAAGGCAGTATATATTGTAGTCGTGTCCTCATTTAGTATTCTTTATATAAAGAATACTAATAAGGCAGTATAATAAACTCGAAGGTCGTGTTTTATTATGTCTAAAACAGGGCGCTTATATAGCCCTCTATATATAGCCATCTATATAAGCGCCCTGGTCTAAAGCCACTCGCGCAGCACGCTGCACGCTCGTGGCTTTAAACCTAATAAAACACTCCTGCTCGTTTATTAAACAGTACGTTGACTACTACGAATTATTGTGGACAGCAGCGCGGGTAAATAAAAATACAACTTTGCTCAATCATGTTATGAAGCAAGTTTTTTCAATGTCGCGATGTAAAGTGTTCAAAACCTAAAATCTTTTTGCGTTCCTCTCAAAATTACTTTGTTTTCGCTTTATTTTGTAGTTTACACAGTTAGCAACCTTTTTAAACGTATCTGGCGGTTGAGAAACACAAAATAATAGTTAAATATTATCAACTTAAATGTAATTATCATTGCTGCTGTAAAATTGACGCCATATTTATACAGCAATATAAGCAAAACTTACTAACCTTCAGACATCATTGTCTCTTTGGCGTACCATATAAAATATCTTCATTTTAGCATAATTTTACAGATAAAGCACTAAACATACTTTTTAAGTTTATTTGCCGCTTAAGAAACGTATCAAAAATTAAGAAAATTGAATATAGGCCTAGTCATAACCACGTAGAAAAGTGTTTTCTAGAGAGTTCTCATCAACAATAGCATCTTTAATAGTTTTGTTTGTGGAAACACCACGTAAATTTATTACTGCAAAGCTTTCGATCCGTAAGCCCGGATCTTCATATTATTAGCACTGATGAAGATCCGGGCTTACGGATCGAAAGCTTTGCAGTAATAAAATAAATTTACGTGGTGTTTCCACAAACAAAACTATTATATGTTTTATCGCCATGCAAACATACAAAGAACTTAATAGCATCTTTACTCTAAGACAAAGGCGACTACAATTTGCATCACAGAAAACGTCGAGCCATCGTATTACCTGATGGTGGTGCCTCTCTTGAGGGTATCGCCTCGTGGATCTTCAGTGACGCTGAACGAGGCGGCATCTGATTCCCAGACGTATTGCTTATCATCGTTATGTTTGCTGGTGACAATCACGCGATCCGCAACCAGGAAAGACGAGTAGAAACCAACACCAAACTGACCAATCAGATCGCCTGATCTCACGGTGTCATCTTGGGAATCCTAGAACACAGAATTTGTAACAAATTAATGCTGGAATGTTTTTGATTTCATCTTCATTATTTGGGCTTCAATGGCACCTTTTACCTCCGAGTTTGTGGGTTCGATTCTCGCTACGGACTCATGTGAAAAGAGTCGGTCAATGCTCTGTCGAAAGTCGTGGGTTTTCTTCGAGTGCTCCGATTTCCTCCCACAGGGAAAGTTGACAGGGTGGCTTAGGATAAATACAGTTAAGAAAGTAATATCAGCAATAGAAACACCAGGCGGAAGTCAAATTCTAGTTAAAAATATTATTGCCCAGCAAATAATTCGTAAAAGAGGCATATTCAAAAAACATTTGCCTTGGTATATAAAAAAATATTTATTGAGTAACGTTTCGTCACATTACAAGCGACATCATCAGACTAAATACAGTTAAGCTATTTAATCTATTTTATAACAAATTTTGAAGAAAAAAAATATACGATATAAACAGTTAAAGAGTTAAAATTAGAAAGATATAATGTTCATGGTATATTCAATAATCATGGTATATTCAACTAATCTCAGTATCTTGTACATGTCAATATACCATGAACATTGTATCTTTCTAATTTTAACTTTTTAACCGTTTGTAATTGTATATCATACAGTATATATATTTTTTCAAAATATGTTATAAAATAGATGAAATAGCTTAACTGTATTTAGTCTCATGACGTCGCTTGTAATGTGACGAAACGTTACTCAATAAATAGTTTTTTTTTATATTCCAAATGTTTTTTGAATATGCCTCTTTTACGAATTATTTGCTGGGCAATAATATTTTTAACTATAAAAGTAATATCACAATTGTTGTAAAAGATAGAATAGTCTAGGCCTAAGTATGTATTTAGGTAAGCGTATTTTTTTGTATGTTACGTAACACGCGCTCAAAACTAATGCGTCTAATATGTCACTTGAGGTCATGACTAAATTCAAAATTTTTATTTTTCGATACGTTTCTCAATCGGCAAACAAACTTAAAAAGAATATTTAGTGCTTTATCTGTAAAATAATGCTAAAATGAAGAGATTTTAGATGGTACGCCAAAGAGAAAATGATGTCTGAAGTTCAGTAAATTTTGCTTATATGGCTGTAAATATGGCGCCAATTTTAAAGCATCATTGATAATTGTATTTTAATTGACAATTTTTAACTATTATTTTATGTTTCTCAACCGGCAGATGCATTTAAAAAGGTAGCTAACTGTATAAACTATAGAGAATAAAGCTAAAACAAAGTAATTTTGAGAGGAACGCCAAAAAGATTTTAGGTTTTGAACACTTTTCATTGTAAATATGTGATATTGAAAAAATTTGCCTCTTAATTACTTCTACTTTTACTCGAGTACAAATTCAAAGTAATTGAAGCACCACTGAAATTGATTACCCAACGCACTGGATATATTTTTGAACACTTTTCATTGCAAATACATGACATTGAAAAAATTGCCTCATAATCATATGCATAATCACAAGTAGTCAGTAAAACTCAGCCACAAATACAATAATACAAACCTGCAATTTCGACAAGAACTCGCTCGTTCCAGATTTTGCGATCGTACCAAGGTTTTTCACGAGGTCTTCTTTCGTCATTCCAATACCAGTATCTGTCACATGCAAGACATTATTGTCCTTGTCAGCCTTGATCTTGATCGACATTTCTTCCGTGGCTGCCAAAGCAGACTTGTCTGTGAGAGAGAGGAATCGAATTTTGTCCAACGCATCCGAAGCGTTTGAGATTAATTCCCTGAGGAAGATCTAGAATGGATAAAATAGATTTAATTAGATCGTTTGCAGTTGATTCTAATGGACGATTAGACCAGAAGAACGAAAGCCATTACCATAGCTGGAAGGAGCATCTTAAAATGAGTAAAATTGCAAAGTTTGGTTGCGAATTGTTGTAAAATGAGGAAAATATAGCCCTGTGAAGTTCGCAAATTTTGTATATATTTGTATTACGCGCGGTAAAAATAACCGTTTTTGAGCCGAATGTGGTTATTTTTACCGCGCGTAATACAAATATATGGTACAAAATTTGCAAACTTCACAGGGCTATATTTTTTCATTTCACAATATTTAGCAAGCAATCATTGCAGTTTTACTCATTCTAAGACGCTCTTTCTAGCTATGGTATTGGAGTTCTTCTTGCCTTGATCAAAATTTAGCCTATAGCGAGAATATCACCCATTAGATATGTTATAGAATTCAAAAGTGATTGCTATAAGAATACTGATTAATTAAAGACTGTTGAAATCTAATCAGATCATTAACTGTTCACACCAACGTAGGAATTATTATAATTAAGCAATTCTAGAGATAATTAGTGATTCTCATAAAATAATAAATTACTGGTAAACTTTCTAAGAACATCTTTAAGAATCCTAATTAATGAGGTCATTAACAATTCTAACAAGAAAGTTAAGAGTTCTAATCAAATAATCAATAAATGTAATGAGACCATAATTCTAATATTACTGTTAATTAGGAATTTTAACAAGATTGTTAGGAATATACTAACAAGATAATTAAAAATTTTAACAAGCTAATTCACAATTTTAACAAGATCAATAAGAGACCTAATAAGGTTGTAGTTATAAATAAAAAATTATGAACTAATGAGAGATTCTATTAAAATGGTTGCACAACTATGCTAAACCATTCTTCTATAGCCTTGGTCAGACCTCTACTTAAGGTCTTAAAATAATGGAGTACATTAATTATAAGTAATAACATGACTTCAGGGAGATTAGTGATTAAATGGCCCCGTAACCTGAGGCAGGTTTGCATCTCCCGAAAAGCCATGCTATTAGTTTGTAATAGCATAGTTGCACTCCCATTTAAAAATGGACAAACATGCCCTACTTGCAATCAGCTAATTTAAGCTAAAACATTTGCTTCCTTGCTTGTGGGATATAAAAGCTTGTTGCACATGCGCACTGTTTACACTTTAATAGGTTACGCATGCGCAATCTATCATTTAACGTACCACAACAAAAACGCTAAATATATTAGTATAAAGTCGGAAACTGCACATGTGTAATTTAAATGATGCAACAACTCAGGGATCGGATGATAGACTATTGACGGCTCGGAGCTAACTGTTGCTGTTCCTTGCACGATTATGTGCGTGCGGCACTTGCCTAATGCGTAGTTGGCAGGGAGACAAAGGGTGTGACCCTTGCCAACGGGCGATTAGAACTAATGATTATTAGAACTAATCGCCTGCTCAACCAGGCGATTAATTATTAATCGACCCTGCCGAAACAAAAGAAACCCGGGTAAGGCAAAAAAATATATATAGCTTGTTGGGAAATCCACTCACCAATGTGTGAGAAAATCAATAACATTCAATTCTACCAACCTCCTTGTTTCGATACAATGAATTGATAATCAGTTTCATCATACGGCTAACTTCCGCTTGGAACACATGTTTTTCAGCTTTGTCTCGTAATTCCTTCATCTGGGCGACATTCAGGCCGTCCAACTTGATAGCTTCTTCCTCTCGTTGCACCGCCTCGTCATCGGTCTTTGATCCATCGCGACTTTTACCAATGTCATCTTCTACTTTGGGTTCTGATTCCGGTTCGGTTTTCTCGTCCACGGTTTCTTTCGCCTCTTCCTCGCCACGACATTGAGCTAAAAATAACAAAAAGAATATTTAGTTGATCTGTTACAATAACAATTGCTTAGAACCTTCTGACTTCTACACTCATATTTTTGGAAATATTGGGGGGAGGGTGGAGTAGGGGCGTTGTGGTTCAAATTTAGGCATTGTCAAGTATAATGCATTGCACACTTTTTGTTTACAACACACACACGTGAGGACCCGACATGGCCGGTAGGTGTACATAAGCAGGGTTCGAATTAGCAATGTGCAATTTGCACATCGTTCTGGACCAAATAGTGAAAGTTGCACATCACTTTTCCAAACGATGTGCAAAAAAATCAGACTTGGGACTATTAATGAACATCCATCCATATTTATAGTTTAAAAACAAAGCCAATCTGTTGTCTTATATAAACAAGTGCTTTTGCATGCACACTAGCAGCATGGAAGGTGTTACATTTTAGCCACCATGACAGACAAACACATGACTGATGTGTGTGTTACTGCGACTGTGTGTGTTAGGTTTGTATATCAAAGATTGCAAACAATGTTTAAAAAGTATTCAAATAATTAAATTATTGCAGTTTGGTTGAGTAAGTTTGAATGAGTAGCTAATACAATCACGAACCTAGAGCCACATTTTTAAAAAAAAGTTGCACATCATTTTTCCCCCAACTAATTCGAACCCCGAGTCACAAGTGAAAAACAGGGAAAGCGCTTTTGTTGGAACTACATTGACATTATTTAACAAAAACTTGGCTAATTAATACACTCTCGTGGGAAAAACAATAAACAACCATGGAAATATAAACATATGTATGAAACCCAATACAAAATGCAGGTTTCAAAAAATTTTTCCAAGGATTAATGAGATATTCAAAAGATTTCCAAACTAATCAATCAGTGACAAAGCTAGCTATAGCAACAGGTCATGCTATGCAAATTATTAATTTTGATTCACATTATTCAAACCTTTAGAAATGTATTGTCTTTAATCTATTTAGATACAGGTTATATAGATGGCATAGCATGACCAGTTTTCATGGCTGGCTGGCTACTGCCCCCACTGTATAATTGATTTCACAACCAAGAAAATGGTAGGGATGGGCGATACCAGCTTTTTCATTCGATACAATATTTACTCGATATTTGCCAATTTTTTTTCAATATCGATATTTTCCCAACTTGAACAACTACAACAACAAAACTTTTCATCTCCTCGCCAAAATCATGCTGGTTGAATATGTTTTCGACACGTTTATTTTCATGATTGTAACTAACATAATCACGAACTCTGATCCTACCCGTGGACCATTAAAGCACCATAGAAAATGAACTACTTTTTATCATTTTCATGATGAAAAATGTAATATCAGAAAAAAGAATATCGCAGGCTCAGAAGTATCGAAACAATCGATATTTCTTACCAGTATCGATACTTTTATTCAAAACCCTGGTATCAATAGTATCGAGTGTTTGTATTGATAGTATTGATATCCATCCCTAGAAAATGGCCACAAGCCCATCCCTAGAAAATGGCCACAGGAAACACCAAAAACCCATCCAATGGAATTTCCTTATTTATTCTCAATCAGTAGCTATCCCTTGCAGAATTCCTTGCTGATTTTTAACCTATCCTCTGGAATTTCTTATCCATTGTTGACCAACTCATGGAAATTCCATAAGTTTTAGTCACTTTTTATATACCTACCCTGTGGAATTTCCACAATTTGCTTTACAAATTGAACCCTCCCTTTGGGGGGAGGCTATTGGACATTCCGATGTTCTCCGTCGGGGGTTTAAAAATGCAATGTGCCAATGGATACCTAATTTGAAGTCTCTAATATTGGCTCTGCAAATAACATGCAAACTTGTCAGACATGAAACTAAGTGCGACTCAAATTCTCCTCGGATAATTCCAGCCCTCTTGACTGGAAAACCTGGCAATGCCTGTAACTATGGTCCCTTTAATATTACAGCAGCTGTCCAAACCATCATTTCACAATTCACACATGCTTTATACACAAAAGCTATTCTGTCAAATACCTGCTACATAAAATTATATTTAGCCATGCTAGGCTACAGCCTACGTGCATAAATACAAAATCGATTGAAAAATCACACAAAAGATCTGCACCAATTAGCTTTGATTTTCATAATCAAAATTTTACAAATGTTTAATAATACTTTTGGAATTTGTATATTTCATATAAAATTTGTATATTAATACCAATTAAAATTTGTACATTTCAAAATAGTGGCTTGCAACGTACGTTTTGGATATAAACTTTTTACCAAAGATCTGTTAGCAAATATCGATACTTGAAGCAACAAATACAAGTTAAATACTTGCTGAGAAACGCACGAATTTCTCAGATCGCTTCGCAAATAAGATTTCCAAACGAAATTTCGCAAAAAGCGCAAAATACTTCCAATTCAATGGACTTCCGGTTCCACTAAATGTCAGGTTAACATTTTAAATTTGTAAAAAACCATTTATACTTACAACTTAGAAGTAATACAACAAAAATCCCGAGAAGGTAAAATAATTTGTTCATCTTGGAACGAAAAAGAGAAGGTCTTTTCCTCGCAGAAGAACCAACAATCACTCGTAGAAACTCTCGTTGAATGGTTTTGTATTGTGAAAGCACATGGACATAACTTGCCAACCGGTGTCGAGCACGCGACAACTGTCCGCTCGTGGCCGCTTGTGATTGGTTCATAATGACCACGTGATGGACGTGGAATGATTTGATTGGTCGATGCAAAGCGACGCGGTGAAAACTCACCACGTCGATACAGCTGTTGCTAAAACTTTGGGAGAATTGCAAAATTAATCTAGTTTGAGTATGATTTTTTTGAAAAAAAAACTACGAAAAACCTTTATTCCAAACTCTTGACTATGCAACAATTATGTAAGAATACTATCTTATATATACTGTTCAACAAATGGTTTAAATTTAATAGTTTTTAACAAAATAGGAAGTTTTGAAATAAGCAGCATGGCTATTCTCTCCTTTCGTGTTCCGGTACTAATGTCAGAATAGCTTCCTGTCTGTGGTTGCTGGTGACTTGGCGGCGTTTCATGGACTAAATTGAAATATTTAAACTCGAAAATGCTCGCTCGTCTATGTAGCGATTTCTTTTATAATTTAATATTATATTTATGACCTCGTATATTGCAAATATTTAAAGAAAAGTCTTGCATTCGCGTCGTAGAATTTGTGAATTTTGGAAGCGAACTTGGTTTCCGGTGCAAGCTTATAGTAAACTCGTGTTGTATATAAAAGTTATTTGAAAAGATGCATTTAATTTTTGTCTTTCTTGTGATGTTATCTACTTCGCTTTGTGCCAAGGAGAAATGTGAAACGTGTAAGGATATAGTTACAAAATTTAAAGAGGTCTGTATGTTTGTATGTATGTTTTTTTGATTTGTTGATGTGAAAATTAAATTTTTGCATTGAAAGAATGAGGTGTTTTGGTTTTTCAAGGGCATGGAAAGGACATCGCGGCATAATTTTGGTGGGGGAAATACGGATTGGGAAGAGACACGACTGGGTACCTGGGCTGACAGGTAGGGTTTGAAATATTTTGCAATTTTTTTAAGTCTTGATTCAGTTAATTTAAAAAAATATGAATGAACAAGTGAATGAAAAAATGGAATGTTAGGGAATGAATGAACAAGAATGAGATTCCAATCTTGAAAAGTATAAAAGGAAACATAATTCAATGATTAACCTTGAGTCAAAGCAAGATGAGTATACATGAGTTTGATATATGATACAAGTACTCCTATAATGATTTTTTGTACACATGCAAATATCTCACATCTTGTAACAAGTTTGTCAACAAGCCATCAACAAGTTGTCTTCGCACTGCTTGTCACAAGTTGTCAACAAGTTTGGAACAAGCTGTTATATTAAACAATTTGTAACAAGCTTGTTGATATTATCGGGCTTGTTACAACCTTGTGTCTTCAACCTTGTAACATTCTTGTTATATCATGACTGTATTAGATAGAACAATTTTGCTACAAGTCTGATAGTGCCATCTAGCTTGTTACAAGTTGTTAACAGCGCTTGTTTCAAACTTGTTTGAACAACTGGGAACAAGCAGTGCGGACACTTGTGAACAGATTTGTAACAACTTGTTTGCAGACCTGTAACAACTTGTGCATTTTTATGTGTGTAACAAGGTTGTTCCAACAAGTCCAATACAGTCATGATATTACAATATTGTTACAACCTTGTGTCATCAACCTTGTAACATTCTTGTTATATCATGACTGTATCAGACTTGTCAGAACAACCTTGTAGCAAGTCTGATAATACTTGTTTTGATATTATCAGGCTTGTAGCAAGGTGTTTCCAACAAGTCCGATACAGTCATGATATAACAATATTGTTACAACCTTGTGTCATCATCCCTCTAACATTCTTGTTATATGTCATGACTGTATCAGACTTGTTAGAACAACCTTGTAACAAAGATAAAGAGCAGAGCCCAGCAAATAACTTTAAAACCAAACATAATAAAAGTAAAATTTTAATTAGCTAACGTAGTCTGATAATGCCATCAAGCCTGTTACAAGTTGTCAACAAATTTGAAATAAAATCATAATATGTCATTCCAGAAAACATCCCTTTGGATGTCCTAATTAATAATAGTTAGAACAACCTTGTAACAAGTACACATGCAAAAATCTCACATCTTGTAAGAAGTCCGCCAACAAGCCGTCGACAAGATGTGTTTGCACTGCTTAAAATTGTCACAAGTTGTCAACAGGTTTGGAACAACTTGTTGACAACTTGTAACAACCTTGTCGAAATCATCAGACTTGTTGTAAGGTTGTTCTGACAAGTCTGTTACATGCTTGATATAACAAGATAATGTTACAATCTTGTGTTGACAACCTTGTAACATCCTTGTTATGCCATGGTTGTAACAAACTTGTTAGCACAGTCTTGTAACAAGGTTGATAATGCCTTCAAGCTTGTTACAAATTGTTAACAGCTTGTTCCAAACATGTTACAACAAACTGGGAACAAGCAGTGCGAACACAACTTGTCAACAGCTTGTGAACAGATTTGTAACAACTTGTTTGCAGACTTGTTACAAGCTGTGAATTTTTACGTGTGTATTATATAATGATTTCTTGTAGCAAGGTTGTTCCAACAAGTCTGATACAGTCGTGATATAACAATATTGTTACAACCTTGTGTTGTAAACCTTGTAACATTCTTGTAATTATATCATGGCTGTATCAGACTTGTTAGAACAACCTTGTAATAAGCCCGATAATGCCATCAAGCTTGTTACAAGTTGTTAACTACTTAAATAACAAGCTTGTTGATATTATCAGACTTGTAGCAAGGTTGTTCCAACAAGTTCAATACAGTCATGATATAACAATATTGTTCCAACCTTGTGACATTCCTGTTACTGGTATATCATGACAGAAACAGACTTGTCAGAACAACCTTGTAATAAGTCTGATAGTGCCATCACGCTTGTTACAAGTTGTTAACAGCTTGTAACAAGCTTGTTGATATTATCAAACTTGTTACAAGGTTGTTCCAACAAGTCCGATACAGTCTGACAGTCATGATATAATAATATTGTTAAAACCTTGTGTTGTCAACCTTGTAACATTCTTGTTGTATCATGACTGTCTCAGACTTGCTAAAACAACCTTGTAACAAGTCTGATAAT